CCCGCCCCGGCTGGCTGGGCGGCTGAGGCGCGGGGCGGGGGGGATTCGCGTCCCAGAGGGCGCCCCCCTGGGGCCTGCGAGGTGGGGCCGGCTGGCCGCGCTAGGTCGGAGCGCGGTGGGGAGAGGGGCCGGAAGCGGTGCTGCGCCCACTGCCTCCTCGTCCCCGTGCGCCCCGCGGGGAGCCCGCCGCCTCCCCTTGTACCTGAGAAGGTGGCTCAGTCGGGAGGCGGGCGTGAGGCGTTCTGATTGCTCTGGATTCCGGCCAGTCGCAAAATCTGCAGGGACACTTAACAACATTTGTCACAATGAATTTCTGATCTGTTTCCACCCAGGCGTCGGAGGACTGGCTGGGGAAGGTCCCCAGTCTTCCTCTCCTCGGTGCCTGAGAGCCCTGACCCCTGAAGGGTGAGGATTCCAGAGGAAGAGGCGGCAAGGAAGGCGGCCCGCAGGTGAGTGAGGGACCTCCAGCCCTGGTAAGGTGTCTAGGAGCCTCCTCGGGACCTTCTTGAGGGACACGCTGGAAGGGACAGTGGGCAGGCAGGTGGCCTTCCTGGACTGGCCCATTCTTGGTACTGTTAGGCAGCAGCAGTGGTCCCTTCTCGGTGCCATTTCTCAGTCCTTAGTGGATGTGCATTGTTACTTCCACCTCCCCAGCCCACAGCAGGCGGCAGGGCTTCAAATGCCAGGCCCTGCCCTGACCCAGCCTCTGCTTTCATCAGGTCTGATGCCTGTCTGGGGCGAGGCAGTGTCACCTAGGCTGGTGCGCTGAACTCTTGCTTGGGAAAGAGGCTCCCGAACAGGAAGGGCAGTAGCAGGCCCAGCGTCTGTGCTGAGCACCGGCCCCAGGCAGAGGTGCTGCTCAGCACATCCCAGCCTGCCAGCTCATTCCCCGGATCTCCAACCTGCTAAAATCAGTCCATCTTTCCCCACCCTCAGTGAGCAGCATCCAACCTGGATGTAGATGCTACTAGGAACACCAAGGACTAAGACATGAAGAGTTCCCAGGGTATAGGCTGCGTTTTCTATATATTGCCCCATCCTGGTGTTTTTTAGGCTCCTCTGACTTGTTTTTCTAGGTGGGGGAGGAGAAGGGGTTTGGGTCTCCGTCTGTGCTCTGGTCTTTTGTGGCTGGTGTGGCATATATTGCAATGCTGTGAGTTCTCCTCAGGCCACACAGTGGCTGAGAACACAACGTTTGGAACCCAAAAGAGCTGGGTTCGAATTTGCCTTTGATCCTTAGGCAAGTTGCTTTACTTCTCTCCAAACTTGTTAATATCCTCATCTGTAACATGGGGATGATCATGCCTTCATCATAGGATGGTTGCGAGGAGTCACAATGATGATGTAGAGCAGCCCCAGCAGGGGCCACCTCCCCAGCCTCCAGTTGTTAGTATTAGAAAAGGTGAAGCTACCCGAGCCCTACTCTCTTGGAGCACTTTGAGACGGTCTGGCTCTCTAGCAGGAGACTGTGGAGGGTGTCAGAGCAAAGCAGTGGGAATAAAGTCAAGGCAGAGGGTCCACGGAGGGCAGGTAGTGAGGTGGCCCAGGGAAGGGGCCATTTCTGGAAGCGGATCCGGTTTTGGAGGCAGAAACAGCAGCACGCTCTGTACATGTAACACGTGTTCACGTGTTCCTGGGTGACCCTGGACACACTGTTACCATACGCGCTGCCTGGGGCAGAAGGAGCCTCTGGCTTGAGGCTTCCAGTCCGATCTCTGCCCCAAGTAGCTGTGGGGGTAGCCATTTGACTTCTCTGGGCGCCGGGTGTGACAGAGGAGCTTGGATCAGAGAGATCTGGGTTTGAATCCCAGCTCCACACTTATAATCTTGGACAGTTACTTCTCTCCAAGCCTTCGTTTCTTCACCGGTAAAACAGAGCTCATAATATCTGCGTGTAGAGTTGTGACCCTTAAATGCACTAATGAGTAGCACTGAGGGCCAGCCCTGGTGGCCTAGTGATTAAGTTCGGTGCACTCTGCTATGGCGGCCTGGGTTTGGTTCCCAGGTGCGGACCTTCACCACTTGTCAGCCAAGCCGTGGCAGCGGCTCACATACAAAATAGAAGAAGATTGGCAACAGATGTTAGCTCAGGGCAAATCTTCCTCAGCAAAACAACAAAAAAAAAAGAAAAGCACCAAGCACGGTATCTGGCATGTGCTAGGTACCTACTTTATACGTGTATGTGTGCATATTCCCTTTCTCGTGTCCTCCCTCTCCCCGGCCGCCTGCCGTCTTTAAAATGCACCCAGTAAAGCAGGTTTGGCCCATCTCACAGCCGTATTGTGAGCATGAAGTCAGGAGATAAACAAAATAGATATAGAAAGTTAGGGGCTGTAAAAACATAATCCTTTTGTGTGGTTAGGGGACTTCATCCTGCCTATGGGACTCTAGACGACCTTTCTAGAGAGGCACTGAGGACTCGGTGATGAAGACTGAAGGTCCGGGACAGTGAAGAGGTGCCTGGCCTGCAGCCCTCCCAGGAAGGCTTCTCTTCACTCTCCCCTTGGAGATAACCCCATGCCCAGAGAAGCCCAATGCTGTGGACTGGGAAGGGGTTGGGATTCTGAGTGCAGGAAACAGAGGTCAGAGGCCTGCTCTGGCTGAGCCGCTGCTGGCCCACGGCGCTGTGCATGCAGCTGGAGCTGGGCCCAAGAGGCCGGCCTGAGTCAATATTGACCTTCCCGGCTGGCCAGCCTGGCTCTTCGGCCTCTCATTCAGCTGGAGTGTTGACACAGTGATTGAATGAGCTTTATTATCATATTCTTTTCAACAACTGCCCCATTATCTCTCCCCTGGGGATTCACTGGGACCTGTAGTGTGGGAATGGTGACAAGGGCGGGGAGCCCAGACATTTTGGCTTGTTATGTGCACAGTGCCCTCTGCCCTGCACACTCAGCTTCTCTCTGGGCCACTCCAGTGGGACAGAAGAACCTCAGGGGACGCTCCACACTCCAGCACAGTGGCCCTGGGCAGATCTTACAGGGCCCTTGGGCAATGGCAGTGAGGGCCACAGCCTGGGTCTAGGACCCACCCACCCTGTAGGTGACAGCTAGGCAGAAAAGCAAATGCAATTCTCCTCAGGCCCTTCCCCCTGGTATATTTCTGGGGGCCAGGAAAGGGTGCTGGGGTGCCAGCTCTCATGTCATGTGAAGAGGGGCAGATGGCAGGCCTAGACCCTTCGTGGAGGCTGAGGGAGGACAGAGCTCAGCTCCACACAGAGGATGAGCAGCGAGGGGACAGAGGGACAGAGGGCAGAGCCTCGGGAAGGGGGAGGAGCTCCCCATCGCCGACCACATTCGAGCAGGACACTGACAAGCTCCTGTTGGGACTGCCACTGAGGGACTGAACGTTGGGCAGGGATGGAGCGGAGGCCAGACCGCCGCAGCGAGTCCACAGGGCGGGCATCACCATCTCTTCTGGCGGGCAGTGCACGTCAGGGTGGGGTCTAGCAATGTCTATTTGGAAAAGCAAGCTAAACCACACGAGAGCAAGGCCTTTGTTTTGTTCACCATGGTCCCCAGAGCCCGGAGCAGAGTAGATGCACAGTAAATGAAGGTATTGAATAAATGAATGAATAATATAGTTTTATATTTAAACAAACTCCAGAAAGTAAAATTTAAGAAAAGTCTTCCTGGCTGATCAGAATACTCCGATGAAAGTCTGGCTCCTGTCCAGGGTGTTCTCAACCAGGGGGCCGGAGAGGCACGTTGCTCTTCATGGAGGGTTGTGTAGGATGACAGTCCCCAAAGTGGGTTACAAAGAGGCCCGCAGCCCTGCTGCGAATCTCAGGGTGGAAGGGGCCAGCTCTGGAGGTGACAGGGTCCGCTGTAGGCCACTCTGTGACTGGATGGTGGCAGTGGTGGGCAGTGCTATAGAACTCGGGGGCTTACCTCTACCTCGGTGCCCTGATTCTAGGATTGTTCCCTCCTCAGAGCATCCTGGGTGGGCCTGAGAATGACATAGGGTGGGTGGTGGGAGGTGGCAACCGCATTCACATCAGGGTCTGGGTCAGATTGACTCGGGTCTGCCCTTCTTTGCTGCTCCACTTGGGCAGTCACTTAATCTCTCTGTGAACATGGATTTCCTCATCTGCATAATGGGTACAATAATTGTCCTCCCTCACAGGCTTGTGGTGAGGAGATCCCATATGTGAGATGCTCAGCCCAGAGCCTGGGGCTTACAGTAGGCACTCCCTGAGTGATGATTACTAAAAACACCCAAAATGGCCCCTCGAGCTAGAACAGAGGCTGTTTCTCTCCTCACTGTACTTAGAGAAGCTGGCCGAGGTGAATGAGTCCATTCCTTTGTTACCACTGGAAGTGCTGAGGCCTAGAAAGGAGATAGGCCGGGGTCATAAGCTGAAACTTCGGAACCCTGCACCCGGGGCTCAGCAGAGGAAGTCTGGGTGTGCCCCCCAACCCTCGATCACTGGCCCTCAGAGCAGGGCCCAGAATGCAGCTGCCTCCTCTCTTCCCAGTCACTCAGAAATGGAGGGGAATCCCACCAGCCTCATTCCTAACAGTTAGTTAACCAACATCCCAGAACTTACATAACCAGCTAAATCCTGCCCCCTTCAGAGTAGCTGCAAACTCCTTTGGTCTCGCTTTCTAGAAGCCACCTTCCCAGCTTGCAGCACATTCTTCTGAATCCCTTCAGCGGGCTAAATGTCCTTTCCTTGAAAGAGACTCGATGTGTCGAAATAGCCAAAACCCACCCGAAGCCAGGTCTGGAGGGTAAGGTGGGTGACCACGTCAGACGCTGCCACTTCTGGTGAAAAGCAGAGGTGACAGGTTAGGAGAACAGTTGATGTTGGCTCAACACGGGCCCCAAAGGTGCGGCCCAAAGAGGACTTCTGGAAGTGCCAGAGCGTGTTGGGAACAGGCAGATTCCCTCCCAAGTCTGCCTCACGTGGCAGCGCTCATTTGAGGGTCTGAGCTCTGGTTTGAGGTTTAAATACAGACTCATTTCTCTATAGCTCTGCCTTGGGTTTGCGGGTCCCCAGCAGCTTGGTGGCCTGGCAACCCAGGCCCTGGCAGATGGATGTCTCCTCCCCCAGAGACGAAGCAGTTTGAGAGGGTGACCCACCCACCGCAGCTGCTCTGCTTATCTCCCTTGTGGACTGTAGACCAGCCAAGCCTCAGGGCCTTGCTCTGGGGGCCCCACCACCCAAACCCCTTGTCATTGTGGAACAGTAGCATTAGCCACAATGCTCTGTCCACACTTCCTCGAGCCAAGCCTACAGGTTGCCTGGCTTCAGGCTGAGATCCTACTGAGGGGACCTGGATGCATCCTGTGCTGCAGAGAATACACTCCTGCTGTTTCTGCAGCTCTTTTCGTATGTGCCAGGCCCTGACATCACAGCTGCCGACGTGAACTCTTTGGAACATTTTACCCACCCCTTGCAGGGCAAATCCCTGGTTCTAAACAATATGAGGGTCTGCCTGCAAGT